TCGATTACGAATTAATTTGTTTACGAATAGTAATCAACCGAGCTTTGTCTAATGTTCGAATTTATTTTCATCAAAAATACCGTTCACACCTTTCTTTTAGTAAAGCATATTTGTTTCAACGCTGCGTTGTATTATTATTACAATAAAACCATTTAATATCTACAATCGTAAACGGATTGCACAGAATCTATCGAGAATCAAAATCCCGTTAATTCAATTACTGTAGTATTCATTACATTTGTTACACAGTCGTAACAAGTTTCTGTATGAGAACAGTTTGTTGTATCGAATGAAAATTTTGACGGGTTTGGTTTTATGCACCTAATTGTATATTAATGCAAGCTAAATGCATTATATATTTCTGTATTAAAATTAATTATAGAAAACAAATTAAGTTTAAAGTGAATTATTTATAATGAAAGAGTTGTAACTAATTTAATTTAAACATTTTCAATTTTACTTTAATGAGAATCGGACTATATTATGGTCTGATATTGCGTCTCTTTCAACAACTTCTTCGTATTTAAACCACTTCTAAACTATATTCGAGTGTTGATTTAATTAAAAGCACGATTTTAAATTAAAATTGTATAAACTAAATTTTGCTCAGCTAACTTTAATTATAAAAAGATGCATAATTTCCTCGGAAAAGGATATAAACATTTTTCGTGTCCAACAAGTAGTAGTAAAGATGCATCATTTGTTTATACATCCACGTATATTAAATTAATGTCTAAAGAAATTCTAAACGTTCGTAAAAAGGTTCTTAAGACGAAACTTCAGAGTTTCCAGAAAGTGTAGTAATATTATCGTCATGCCATTTTCTAAATACGAGGGGGAAACCGCTGACCAAAATCTTGTACACCAATGCCCACTAATACCCAGTGGGCATTACTTTATCTTATTATCTTGTTTTATCTTATTTTATCTTATTTTGTCTTTTTAATGCCCCAGCAAGGCCTAATGCCCAAACTAACGACCAAAAAATGCCCAGTAATGCCCAGTAATGCCGCAAATCTGTACACCACAATGCCCTCAGCGGTTTCCTCCTCGTCTAACAATTTTAGGAAGCTAAATACGTTGTTTCACTTGTGATTAACTCATTAGAAATACTTGTTGAAAGCTTGTAAGATTTTGAAATTTTATATGCGAGCTAAGTTATGCTGTTTGTGTTTTCCGGCTTGAAGTGCTTTTTATATTTTATGTTCATAAATAATTTATTTTAGAAAAATATATAAATGAAAAACTGCATTCCATTTAATGTCAAAGAAACGTAATTTTCACTCATGTGTTTAAAGCACGAGTTTTATTTAATTCTACACCGAAATTACTTTTATAAAATTGCAACTTTATTATGTTTAAAAAGAACATGTATACAGATGTACACTATATTTATGTCCACTAATTTCACTTTTATGTAAACGCCCGCAGAATGTGTAGTCGTACTCGGTTGGTTGTTGTTGCGACGCTAGCCGCATCCGATTCCAATTTGCATTGCTAATATAAATATCAAGCTTGAAACACAAGGAAGGCTCGCAGATTCCAGCATTTACCGAAGTCTGAGAGCAGTTGCTGATTATGTTCTTAATTGGCGGTTTCTTACCAGCGATTTTCCATTTTCATTTTGTTATTTTTGTATTCGCGGATCAACGGAAGTGTAAGGCTTTGTCCTTATTTTAATTTTGGATATTCCCAATTAAAATGAGATTGTGATTACGGGGAAAGTTACTTTACAAGGACGATGTTTACAACGCGAAACCAGATACTTGCAAGCTTAATTCATCGCTTGAAGTTTTAAAACAGGATTTTTTTTGTCAGACGAGACGTGTAATTTATCTTGGAGGATGTTCCGTCGACACCTGTCTCGAACTTTTCGAAATTTCTCGCGCCAACTGGAGCTTAAAGTGAAGTACGTCCTGAGTGTCTCTCGAGCGATTTTTTTTCAACCTGTGCCCGAAACTATCAAGGAGAAAATCTTTGGCAAGTACCGACGTGTTAGCCGTGCAAATAAAATTTACCACCAAAGTTTGCGACCGAACTTGCCTGGTATGGCGACGAGTTTCCGAGTTTATCATGGTATGCATCTTTTAATAAGCTCGAATAGTGGTTCAGCATCTCGGAGACGATGTAGCTGGGAACCTCTCTGAATTATAGAGCCATTTGTTATCGCTTTTTTTAGACACTATAGTAGTACAATAAAAGAAGCCGATAAATATAAAATTGAATTTTATCATACCTAAAAAGATATAGGAGATTCAATTATATCTCGTTTAATTTTAAACTTGGGGAAAATTGAAAACTGCACTGAAAAAAATTTCTGGTTGAATATGGACGAATCAGATAATTCCTTTAGGATTTACCAGAATTCCTTTAGGATTTACCAGAATTTCTGTAATCCTACAGAAATTCTGGTTAGGTTCTGTAGGATTACAGAAATTCTGGTAAATCCTAAAGGAATTCTGGTAAATCCTAAAGGAATTATCTGATTCGTCCATATTCAACCAGAAATTTTTTTCAGTGCAGTTTTCAATTTTCCCCAAGTTTAAAATTAAACGAGATATAATTGAATCTCCTACGTATCTTATCAGCTGTGTATTTATTTGTAACATGTTGGAACGTTAGCTCGAATAAACTAATTAAAATGTTCTATTAAATCTGAAAGACGAGGTAAGAATTTACTATACCCACAATATTCAAGATCTAATATTGCGCAAATAATTCAGATTAAGGGAGATAATTATTTCAACCGTGATAGTTAAGACAATACAAAATTTGAACATCATCGATTAAGTCATTTCGAAGTACCGCAGTCTGGGACACTTCCCAATTTGACTCGGCTAAGTTAGTAGAAGTTATGCCACGCTGCGCTCCAACTACCATGGATGAAAATTCGCCCAGGGGTATTATGGCGTTGGTGTTACAGGGTCGACAGCAACGGAGAACTAACCCACTGTAATTCCCCAGATGACTTTAATCTGTTGTCACTTAAATCATTCCTTATTACAAGTTTTGTCGCATTCGAACGCGTTTTATTTGCCGTTAAATTATCCCATAATGGCACTTAAAGACTGATATAACTTAGATTCCCAGAATAAATGTTCTAGCCGACCAGCTGCGAAATCTTATCGACAAATAAACGTCTGTTAACAGGTTAAATTTTTTAGAAAGATATATTTGATCGTGGAGCAAAGCATGGAACTTTTATCGCTTTTTTTTCTTCTGCAAATGGTTGGCACGAAGAGAAAATGGGTAATATAGCAGATACATAAAAGCACGTCGGTGCCCATACTAATATAAATTTTAACTGAAATAATTTGCTACTAAATTGCTTTCAGTTAATCAATTACAGAGATTAGTTAGCATGAAATAATTTGAACTGTTTCGAGGAGGTAAAAAGCTATATTAGGTATGACATGTGCTCGTTCAATGGAAATCGTGATCGTAACTTCTGATAATATAATTATTTCTGCGTATTCGATGGAAATTTTCATGCTGTTTTTAACATTAAACGAAAATAATTGAATGGATAAAAGCCGGTAATTATGTTCATCTCTTTCGCAATTATAAGCTTTTTAGATAAAATATATTTTTGGACAAAATAGAAATTCGCGCACTTAGCTCATTTATTTTCTTGTTCGATTTATTTAGCAATTAAAAACCGGAAAACTATATTTATTAAACTATATTATATAACATATCTAAGTGTTTTACTTTTAATTTATATTTGCAAAGAAAATAACAAGGATTTTTATGAATCAAAATGATACAAAGAGTAATTTAAATAAGTCAACTATGAAACATTGTAACTTCCACGAATGAGCTATAATTAAAATTAAAGTTTCTACATGCTGTGCAGTAATTTTGAAAGAATAATTAATGTTATTTTATGCGATTATTTAATTAATTTTACACATTATTAAATCAAATATTATTTTATTTTGAATATTAGAGCAAAAACATCATCATAAATAAATTTTCGCAGGTAAATATTTAACGTAGATAACATTTGGAAGCTTTACGCAACGGTTCTCAACTATATGCAAAGAAATGTTATGCTTGCAGCGTAAACAGAACTTTTTATATGTTATAAGTTATAATGGTCATAACTTTCTGTAATCAAAATTAATGACATTATAATTTATCACAAAGTAAGTTTATATTTACGTCATATTTGATGAGAGATTCTTCGCAAGTTTTGAAGCAGCTGGCGGAAATTAATGCGAAATTCATATCTCAATTTAAATCTTTCAACCTCAACACAATTCATTATATTTTTCACGTAATATATTGATTGATTCGCATTGCGGTTTCTAAGATTCAATTTTGATATTAAATGTTTTTGCAGAGTAAGACCTTTTAAATCGCATTTGTCCTAAGTCCTACAAAAGTATAGTTAAAAATAAAAATTCAGAGTACAATGCAGTTATTAGAATAATCATAACGAATAGCTCTTGTTCGTCAGCCGTTTGACATACAGCTCGTCGCACAAATAATTTGATCGTATTTGATTGTAATTTTAATCGATTGTTTCTTATTATTTCTTCTTATTGATGTAAGTCTGTATCACAACTTCAATTTTTCACGTTCTTTGAACTTTTTGGACCACGATTATTTAGTTATCAACTTTATTGAAGACACCATGATTTTTTTTCACCAAATCAGAAAGCGCTCTGCATCTTTAGCTCAATTAAAAACGCGAGAAATAACTACGACTTCACCGAAGTCGAGTCGGAATGTCCGGATTATCGTAAATCTTTTTGAGTCCTTTCTGTTAATTATAATGAAATATAATTATTTGAAATATAATTCACGCGCCAACATACGTGTCGTACTCTCAGTGCCCACGTTTAACTTTCTACTTGGTTGATTTCATTATCGAGAGTCTGGTAAATTGCTCCTTCTGATTTTATTGCTAAGCATCGCGAGGGAAGGATTTCTCGAAAAATGGAGCTTCTCTGACTGTTGTTGTATGTGAGAAAGCTTTATAATCACACGCTCACCCTCATGATCGAAGCCTCACATGGTCCCACCGATGCTGAGAAACACCTTCAGCCTGCAGTGGATCCGCGTCTGTCACCCATCCGCCATACTCCGCTGTTCCTCGGAAAAACAACCGATGGGCGTCACTTGTTTCGCGCGACGTAATTCTCACCCCTGACCTCGACCTTCAACCCTTGCTACCACAATCCCTGACACAAATTCTTACATGTCCGAATTCCGCGCTTAAAGCTCGCACCTGATCCCCGACAAAGTCCGCGCGTACCACGGGAGTTTTCACCCCGCGGATATACGAAATATAATTGCTGCAGATAAATTAATAACAAAAGTCAAGTAGACGAATCGAACGAACTCGGGGTTGATGTAACGAATACGATCGCAGAAGCTCACGATAACTGAACACCTTGCGTAAGGAAGCTTGCGGACGGTTAAGACTTTTTGCACAGTTCTCAGAACTCGGCGGAACTTGTCTCTCCTCGTGTCACAAGTAGACGGAGCGGAAGATGTGGTCTGTCAGAAGTTCGGGCGTAAACTCGAGAGATTTGCGGAAACGTGGGTGCGAAAGCTCCCTCGCGCAGTATCGAACCGAGCGGACGAGCAGCCGGGTTGATGCGAGGTCGTGGCCCGGCAGCCGGCGACTGGCTGCTGCTAGAAAGCTCGCAAGCTCGAGCCAGTCGGCCTGGCTAGGCGCAAGCTCCCTACTACGCGGCCTCGAAACACCCAAGCGAACACACCGCCGCGTCGCCCAACCCTTCGAGAGAGGGAGAGGGAGAGAGAGAGAGAGAGAGAGAGGGTTTCTTCTGGCGACTCGTGTCGCCGAGGAAAACGCTGCCAGATATTTGGCAGCTTGCGGCGCCTTAAAGCTGCGCAGGGTGCATTCGATTTCTGTCGTTTGCGTGAAATTGATGTACGACGTACGGAGATGGAAACTTCTTTGAAACCGATGTTATCTCGTGAAAGCAGATTCAATACTGCAAATGTAGACAATTTTTATGTTTATTCTCGCTCGCGACGATCGCAATCGACAATAATTGATAACGTAAGATATATTTTATATTGTCTATACGGAAGATTGAGTTTATCAAAATTATAGCGATTCTAATCTACGGTATATTACAGAGCTTTAGCCTTCGGCAAACCCTTATGGGCGCGCCTTTGTTTCTTTTGTGATATTCGAAAAAGAAAAATGGAGAGAGCAAAAGAAATCTTTTTGAGTCCTTTCTGTCACGTACTCTTGCGGAGTAAATTACTTTCTCATGAAATGCCGATTCTGCGCGGATGAATCGAGTTTAATCCGTCGCGAATCGGCGTTAATCGCGAAAGCTGATATCGATATTAATGGCAGTACGGATATAATGCTACATTCGTCGGTGTTCCAATGATTAATCGATAATGAATTACCGCGCCACTTCCGGCTGCAAGCGTATTAGTCGATTTTATGCACCATTTCTTTTAATAACGCAGAATGGAAATAAATTATTTTCAGCAATACTTTGCATGAATATTTAAATAATAATTTTATACACGAGAGAGTGTATCACTTCCTGTAAAAAGTACAGTTGAAATAACCGATGTTAAATAAATACCTTACATATGTAAAAAGAAAGAAGCAGTTACATATGTCTCTTTACATTTTGATTTGTCAAACATGATAATTATTATGTACTAACTACTACTAACAATCACGATAGGTCAGCCAGAAGTATATATTATACGCTGAATATATTGAGGAAATCCCAAACTTTTATTCGACCGACAGAATTTGCTATTAATTTGGAATCGATTTTTCCGATTATTGAGAAAACTTTGCAACAAAGCTATCACGCATTTGAATATTTTAATATTCAACGTTAAACATTTTTATATACAAAACTTAATTAAACTTTATTAAAATTTAAATTAAAATCTTAAATAAAGCAACATATATTAAATTTAGAGAACAATGAGTAAGCAATTGTTATTACTACAGTAATAATAACAGTGCTCTGTTTAATTATACTGTTTTATTATTAAACATTCCTTCAGGTATTGATCTTCTACAATAAAATATCAGAAGCATTGTAAAAGATACCGCAAAAAGTGTTACTTTTTTCAGAATAATTGCTTTTTCAATATTATAATGTTCTTGAATTAAAAAAAAACCGCTTGGAAGCTTGCAAAGAATCTATCGTGAAAATTAAGAATTAGCTGTTACGAGGCTTTGTGCATTTACATCTCAAACAATATCCCGTTAAGCTCCCTCACGACACGCGCTAATGTATTTTGCGAAGGCATTTGTGGCACAAGATTTACGACAAGCGTAAAAAGCTTTAGCGTCAATCGCGTTAGCAAGGGAGATGTGTCTCTGACCCGGAGAACGAGATTGTGGTGAAAGGGGAGAGAGAGAGCTGATAAATTTTCATTAATTATTCTTGACGAACCAGCGAAAATCCTACCAAATCGTATATGTTGGATCGTAGCTTGCGAAGCGCGTGCTTGTGGCCTGCCCGAACACAATTGCGGCACTGTGGCCGACCACAAAGTGCTTTGATAGCGCGTATGCGAAATTGTGGCAGGCCGGTTCATATGGGGAAGAAAGAGGCTTGGATATCACTTTTACTTTGCACATTTTAATTAATTCCATACGGATTCCAGGAACGCGCGCGAGACGGTTATCTGCAAGAATACTTTATGCAAATACTCACGTATTTTTGTATCAAACTTTCCTATCCGACAAATTGTACATATAAGGTATCAATATTTCAAACGACAATAATCTGTTATGAATTGTGAAAATAATAGGATTGCCAAGACTTTACGAGTTAGACGAGTTATAAAGTGTTACATACATATTGTAGACACTACGGAATATTCATAAATATTTATACATTTGGTTTAATATAAATTTTATTTGCGCAGCAAACATAACATGAGACATGTGTAATACTCGTAAGTATAATACTCGTAAAACAAATATTTACCCTTTTATCACCGTGTGTGCTAAAATTCTTTACAGTCGACAACGCTGGGAATTTTCTAGACGAGAACTTGTTAAATTGATATTATTTCAAAATGTTATGTCTCTGATATGAAAACCTGTTTATATTTTTGTACCATTTTTAGCAAATTAAAAAAAAAATTTTAATATATACAAAATTTAATTCGCTACGTCGCAAACAAAATACATCACATACTTAATTATATATTGAACATTATTTATCAAATTTTTATTAAACAAAGGTTGATACCAAATCCACAGAAAAATTTATAATTAAAATTTCTTTAGCGCATCCAGAAGAGACTGCGTATTGATGATATAAATTCCAGATATGTAGTATAGAATTTAATTTAACTGTCAAAGTAAATAAAATTAAACACCGACGCAGCAATTAATTGAATAATTCGCTGTTCAAAGATGACATAAAGATACGTATTTTCAGACATTTAACGGGATACGAGAAATGGATATTTCAATAAATAAACAAAAGGCCGCGCGCGACTATTTAATTGCCAAACAGAGTAATGCAGAATAACGACCGATCGAACGAATTGGTCTCGCGTGAAGCTATGTAACGTTTACTCCGCCCGTGCGTGCCCGTGAATCGACAAAAAGCACGGTGCACTTTTAATTAAAGCGCAAATGTGAAACGGCTTCTTTCGCGCGCATTTTATTACGCGGGCTCGTCGGTTTACCGAATGCGCGGCATTGTAATTTCGCTTGCGTTGCGCTTCCACGATAACCCTTTGCCGTTCGTCCCTCCGGTGTGCCTCGGACACATATATTATCCCGCCAATTTACGCGACCTGAGGCAAGTGTCGTTACATGCGGAATCTCTCTCTCTCTCTCTCTCTCTCTCTCTCTCTCTCTCTCTCTCTCTCTCTCTCCTCCCTCTCTTTTTTCTCTCTATCTCTATCTTCAGAATCGATATTACGCGGCATGCAGTTGCCAAAACAATGCCTATCACAGTTATTGTTACTGTGTTGCGTATATATATTTTTATACATATACGAATCACTTGTGATTATAAGGGGTGTGACAATTTCATGTTATTTTGTGGCATTTTTGCCTTTTGTTTTTCCAGCTTTTGCGTTATTTTAATGTTACTTTTTTTGGCATATTTTGCGTTTTGTTTTTCCGAATTTTGCGTTATTTTGCTAATGCTTTTGATAATGTCGTGGTCAGAGGTGGGCAAGGCATATGTTAAAACATATGTTAAAAAATGTAACATAAAACACAACAGCATGGAACAAATTACTGAAAGTATAAATTGTTTTTAACTTCTATTAGTTTATGTTTTCAGGTTCCACAATTAATGTTATACTTTCAATCGAAAACAAATCGATATTCTCTATGATTTTTAACTATTAAATATATTTCTATAATTTCTCGGAGATTTGTAAAGAACGTACAGCTTAACAACATGGGGCTATTTTACATTTGACTAAACTACAATTTTTATTTTAAAATAAAAGATTAAGTAATTACTATTTGATGTGAAACTCTAAATCCTTTTAGCGTTGCCTCAATTTCAGGTAGAATCAACTACGTTAATCGGCGTCCCGATTTTTGAACTAATTAGAAAGCCATGATTAATCATCCTAGCGAGTTTCAAGAAACCAAGGGGTTGCTCATGAGCTCATCAATGTTCCCTCTTAGGACTTTCAACCCTCCAACATCTATTAATCCACCAACCTTGGATAGATTCCAGCGCTGCGACAACTCTTAACGATATCTTCGATCGTATAGTCCTTGAAATTGACAAGTAGCCTCGGCGACAAATTTCCAAGATGAAATCTCATTCTAACGTTGCACCTAACTTTCATAATTGCCAGAATTTTATGGCCGAGAAAATGAATGACGCGGACACGAAATATTCGGTCCGCGTATTAATTTATGAATAAGCATAAATGGCTAAATGAAATGCACCATCACAGAAACACGAAAAAATAACTCGCCCTGACGGTGCAACTTAAATATTCAAATTACGACATTCGAATGCAGATGAGACCACGGAAAAAAATCGCGGGGAAGACCTAGACCGTAGTTTTTTTTTTGCGCATTTTGTGCGTGCACGCGTAGTTACATGCGGGTCTCTGGACGACATCCAACTAAATTTTTATTCAAATGGTTATTTCAGCAAAACTTTCCTTCCTCCGACGTATCTCCGCTTTTACAGATATTATTTAGTGTCGCGCAATTATGTTACAAAAGTACGGCAATTCAATTTAATGCCTAAATTGGGTGAAGTATTTTTAGACGTGTACCAAATCAACAAGTACATACTGTTTGTCTCAGCGAATTATTCATGCGGCATGCCATGCCGCGAAATTTTGTTAGAATTACTGCACGTTACTGTTGGAGACCCGCTAACGATTCGATAACCGACCTGGTTTGTACTTTTATTCTGAATAAAACAAAACGCGCACGATTGGGATTGTTGGTGAACGTAAACATTATGCGGTACAACAACGCCAGCAACAGGCGCTTTCCTCGCTCGACACAGAACAAGCTGTATCGTCATTAAAATTCCCTAACGCTAAATGGACGTAGTCCCTTCGCAAACAGCTTGCCGCTGTACGCGGCCCTATTGTTCGTAGTTCGTAGCGCGCTCCATGAGCTCTATTCTCCTCGCTACACCCTGCATCATTGCAAGTCGGCCACGTGATCCGCCATCAAAACGGTGGTTTTAGGACGGGTAATCAGGAAGATTCACGAGCAT